GTCTAGTCAAAATGGAATCTTGGCTTGTGATGTTAAATGGCAATAAATAACTGGAAAATAACCTTGTAAACTTGCGGAATAAAATTCCTCCATCTGAGAAACAATGAGAGAAAAGTAGCTTTCAGCTCAGTCAGCATCCTCAGAGACTGATATGCTGAATTCAATAGGTATGAAATTTAGCAGGTCTTTTTCCAAAAGAAGTGACACTCCCAGTAGCAGGATACACCGTAAGAGGATATTTATGGGTGATTCTCTGTCTGTCTGAAGCTGTAGCTTCCACTGGAGTTTCTTTTCTGTGTCTCTGGTTATCTCTCCACTCCACCCTCAGTATGCATGTAATATGAGCACGGAGAAAGGTACTACACACACTGTATCATCCCTAATAGGATTCCATGCATCATACACACACGTATAAGCTCACCCACTCAAATAAATGTGCACACATGGACATCCTCACAATTCCATACTCTGTACTAACTCTGCCCCCTTAATAAGAATTGTTAGATAGTCAAAGTAAGATATGATGAGACCTTACTTAAAAAATTTTGGAATAAGGGTCCTCATTCACAGTATTACATTAAGAAACATTTCTTAAAAATACATCCATCAAGCTCACCATGAGCAGTGAAAGACTGAGCTGACCATCTTTGCAGGTCAAGCTAAAGGAGCAAAACAATTAAAAAGAAAGACAGAAAAAAGCAATTCAAACAGATAAAGAGCCTTGGTTACAAGAGGAAAATAAGCCGACTCTTTCCAGCATTTACCCCTGTAGACACACATTCCCTCTTCTTTGCCAAGTTTTCATTCCTCAAGATAAACCCGAAGGCCACACTTTCAGAGATGAATAAAACAGCCCAGCTCTCTGTTCAAGTGGCATTTGATAATGCCAAGCAGTCGGGGGCCAATAAAGTCAGCACTTCTACAAATCAAATGATCTAGCTCCTACACATAGCCCCTTTCTGTGTGACTCTTGTCACAAAAGGAGAGAGGGGCAGGAAGGAAAGTGGAGAATGAACAGATTGGAATAGATAACATTTTTTATTCTTCTTGCACTTATTTTTGTAACCCTCCAGAGCACCAAGTAACTGAGTTGCTTCTCGTTTCTGGATAGAGTCTGTTTGAAAGGTAAGACCAGCAAGCAGGCCTTTGTGAAAATTCTGATTTATGCAATTTCATTCTTAAAGGACCAGCAGTGGGGTCCTATTTAAGTATGTAACAGCTTCCTGAACATATGCAAAACTAAAATGGGGTTTCCTGGGAGGCAGCCCTTATGGAGCCATTATCGTGAACAACTAAATCTCATTGGTAATTAACACAGAGTTGGATGGTAAGTAGGGAGCTTGTGGAGTTTATGCCTTCCACTTGTGTTGAGAATCAACAATGCACCAGGAATTGTTCTGTTATGGATTGCCCAGAATGTGGCTTGTTTTCCTAAGTAGTTCAAAGCATTCCTCACAACCAACTCATTTACACCATTTATTTGTTAAACAGTCTTGTTATTCCAAAAGGGCACAGATTTGGCACATCACTAAATTACCCCAGATGCCAAATCTGCAGGTACTGACTAATGAGAGCCGCCTGTGTCAAAAACAAAACCAAAGTGCATGTCTACTGTGGGCTGTGATCAGGCCTCTTAGAACTGGAAAATTCTAAGCTCTGCCTGCTGAAAGAATTTTGGAAGTCAAACAGATTTAAATGTGAAACTCCGTTCTCTGTGCTTGTAAACCATTAAAATTCCTCGATACCGCAGTTACTTTACACATAAAATTTTGTAGTAAGCCTTGGAATGTATGCAAATGAATGAGCACAGATTTTTGTATTAACAAGGACAGGTAAAATGACCTTGGTTTATTTCTTCTGCTTAAAATTAATCACACCACAGTATAAAGGGTCTAAGCTAAGTTAAATGACTTCAGAGATGTCTTTAAGCACATTTGTTTATTCTCTGTGTATGTTCCTGCTAGCTGCAAATGTAATCTAAGTCTCCATTTTCTCATCCTGAAGATATGGTCCTGACAACTCTATCCCATGGTGCAATGGACATTGAATGAATGAGTGTGGATATATGTGGGATGTTATCATTCAACATGTGTGGGTGTTTTGTCTGCATGCATGTCTGGATACCACATGTGTGGAGTCCAGAAGAGGACATCAGAACTGCTGAACTAGAGTTACAGATGGTTGTGAGCAGCCATATGGATGCTAGGAACCAAACAAGGGTCTTCCAGATGATAAACTGGCAACCTCAATCACTGAACCATCTCTCCAGCCTTGATAGCAACTGATTTTGATAAGAACAACAACAGCATGAGACTGAAGGAGCTGTTTTTGATAATAAAACAAAAATTACTTTTTTATGTCTTAATTTTTGTCTTTAATGCCCAGGAAATTTGGTGAGTTAACAAGAAGAACGCTCATTTATTTTAAATGCAACAATGCTAATTATATCAGACTCTTTCCACTGGCCTATATAAGTTGCTTAGGGCTGAAAGTGCCTCAATAATTCAGATAGTCATTAAAACCATACACTCTGAAACTGCAGAGTTCTGGGTCACAATCCCAGGTCTGACACTTACTCTGTGTCATTGATAGAATGGCCTTGGATGTACCTGGGATGTTTCTTATGTGTAATAAAATCAGCAATCATTTCCTGAAAGAAACATTATAAAGGTTAAATTAAAGATAATATAGTTAATATCCTGCATGGAATCTACCATACAATGTAAGTTGTGTTCATTGAAAGTTTTGGAGTTTCTCTCTGGAGACTGATGGCTGCAGGCAATCTGCCATGAGTCAATAAGCCTCTGACAGTTCACAGGTTATATAAAGGACCAGTTTCAGTTTTACATTTCATGAACTTGACAAATATCCAGTGACATCCATCCATCACTATGTGGTCAAAACATGGTAATTCCACTGCATTTAGAATCCTTTATGCTCTACCTATTTACTCTTCCCTCTGAATTAGACCCTGGAAACTGCTGGTCTTTCTGTGGCTCAATAGCCTTGAATTTCTAAGATGTTTGGGTTCCCCACCAGACTCTACCCCTTATCATGTTATAGCTTGACGGCAT